AAATTATTTCTTGCTATTCAATTGATTTTAAATCGAATTTAATGAAGTAGTGTCTATAGTAAATGAGTCCGCCCACCTGTGATAAGTTAGGGCTAGATAAACTAGCTCTGTGATAAGTTAGAGCTAGATAAACTAGCCCCAACTTAATTGTTTAGTTGTTTGGATCTTGAGATGCTAGATATTTGCTCAAGAAAGTATTTATATTACTTGGTATATTGGCCAAAAAATCTTGTGTTTTGTCCAAGGCTTCTTTACACTTCTGTTTTATAATATCATAGTCAATTTTTTCTAAAGAGATATCAGGTGTTAAATATATAGCAAGATTAGCAGCCAACTTATTCATATCAAGTTTACTGCTAATTTCTTAAAGCTGATTAGTTACCGTATTTTGTAAAAATTTATTGTTTTTTTGTAATATTTTGTAAATACCTAACAGTTCACCAAACTTTTTGATAGCCTTATCATGTTTACTACTTCTGAATAAAAAATATTTATTATTTTATTTATTTTAAAATCACACATAATATGTATTTATATATACATTTTAACTTAATCTCTTATATAAAAACAATGTATGTCTAAACTGTTAAAATATAAAAAACATATAAAAACAAAAAAAATAATTAATATTTCTTTAAATACAAAAACAATTAACCATTTACAACAGGTAGAGGCTTCTGTTCTAACAATCTTTTCACTTCAGAGAGAATATTTGGTAAAAAATCCTTAATTTCAGATAAAGCTTGAGCACATGCCTCTTTACAAATTTCCTTCATTTTTGTAAAATCAACACCACCACTACTCTCTTCACCCAAAAAATTATTAATTTTTTTAATAATTTTTTGTGTTGCTTCATCAATAAACTTTTTCACAAAATTATTAAAAGATAAAATAGCCTGTTTATATTGTTCATTTTCCTGAGTTAGCTTTTAATTTTCTGTATAAAGACTTTTATATATCTGCATTAAACAATTAAAATTGCCAATTGTCTTGTCTCTTACTTAATTATTGTTTGTTATTGTTGGGTTAGCATCAGTTTCATCAGGTTTTTGATCATTTTGAATTATCTGGTCTTGTTGAGTATTAGGTTCTGTTATTGTAAAAAAAATAATTACTTTAAAATTTAACAAGCTATTTAAGACAAACAAATATAAAAATTATACTAATTTTATAGATAACCAAATCACTTGTATAACCTTAATCATTATATAAACTTACAGTAAAATTTATAACTAAAATAAAAATGTTTTTCTTCACATTCATAAGTATATATATTTAAAGTGATTTTATAAGTATATACTAACTATTCTTATTACACAATTTAGCTAAATCTTATAAGCGTATGTATTTATATCAAGAGTATAATACAATTAAGTTTTTACCTGCATGAGCATCAATACACTAAAAACGCCTACTGCACCTTCTGTATTTGTATAATAAGCCTTCTGCTTATCTTGATTGTTTTGATGATACTAGAAAAAATATATAAAGAATACAAGTGGGCGTATCTGATTGTTGTATCTTATTTTAAGTATCAAGCATATCTAAAACTAGAACTAAGTGTTCTATGATAACTCTTTGCATATATTACTTCTTTTTTCCTTTTAAATTCAATTTAAGATATATAGATAAATTTAATTAAAATTGAATTTATTTAATATTATATAAAAATTTATTATTTAAACATGTCTCAATTATTATCGATCTAACTATAAGATGTCTAATAAAGATTACAAAAAACGTTATCTAAAAGAAAAGACAAAAATGAAGAACTCGAAGAAGAAAACAAACAACTCGAAAAAAAAACTCTCAACTACCTCTTTACAAATCTAACTCTACAAGGACAACTTGAAAAAACTACAATTTCCAATAGAAAATTAAAGAAAAAAAACCAAAAACTTGAAAATAAATTTAAAACAATCAAAGAAAGTCAAAAAAATGGATGGTTTACCTGCCAATGTGATGTAAAGATCAATAATAATGCAATATGTGTTTGTATTGATTCAGGTTGTAATGATATGAGTTTTATGACAAAGAAAGATACTAAAAAATTAGGATTAAAGATAGTGACAAATAAAGAAAAAGAATACACATTTGGTGTAGGAGGTTGTTCAAAAATTGAAGTCCGTTTCTATCATTTATTGAATTTAACAATAATATTAAAATACTAATCACTTTTGAAATTGGAAAAACATTGTCTATACTTATAAGTTGTAATTTTCTTAAGAAATACAAAGCTTTGATAAACTTTGCCACAGAAAAGTTAAAATTAACTATAAATAAAAATACATTTTTTGTAAAACTTATAATGTATTCAGATGAATAATTTAATTTTTTAATAAGTGGGCTAGTTCATCTAGCCCTAACTCATCACGGGGCTAGTTTATCTAGCTCTAACTCATCATAAGGCTAGTTCAACTCATTATAGATGAGCAGGCTCGTTTACTATAGACATACCTTGTTTACTATATATCTATTATTATAAATATAAAATAAAAATAATTTATTTAAAACAAGAATAAATAAAAAATATATTATATAGTCGAGCTTGCTATAGACTTTTGGCCTGCAAGCTCAATATTGGCACTCCATAGCTTATATTTTACTATACTGATTATTGTTGTTGATGCTCACCACTTGGCACACTTTTAAAAAAGTATCAAAGCTTTTCTTCTGCTACAACATTTGCTATAATATGCTCTGACATCTCGATGATATGAATTTTGTTGTTTTTAGCACCAAAATTAATGTCTATCTCATTTTACAGCATATCTCACAAAGTTGAATTATTGATGGCATGAATTTTGTTGCTTTTAGCAATGAAATTAATGCCTATCTTACTTCATATTTTACAAGTTAAGTTAAATATAAAGATTTTATTAAAAAATATAGATTACAAATATTTTGAAAATTTATTTTTGAAATTGTTGATTGAATCTTTCTATATTGATGCTACTAATTTAAAAGCCATATTATGATTTAATTCTAGATTATTTCTTTTAATTATGAGGAGAATGAATTTCATAAAACTATTATATAGCAATAATTTTTTTCTTTCATACATGTTAATTGTTGTGCCTTTTTTAACTAACTTGTTGGCATTCTTATTTTCAATATTGCCTTTATAGCCTAAAATATGAGTAAAATAAACTTTACCATTTCTATTAAAAATTAAACTATCAATTTTTTCAAAAAGATCTTTGTTTTTAACAATCACATTATATGACATTTTCCAATCATGCATTTTTCATGTTTTGATCTAATTTTCAAATGCGTTAACTACATTTCTACTATCAGTCTTAATTTCAATCACTCTTTCTTGATCTTTGCATGTTTCAAGAGCACAAACTACTATATAAATTTCTGTATAATTATTATCTTGGAATGAATCTGGTAATGACTTAGTAATTTGTTTAGTTCCATCTTCATAATAAATCCTGATTCTAGCAAAACAACCTTTTTCATTATTTTTGCAACATCTGTATAAATAACTATTTTATCATTAGATCTTAAGATTTCTTGCTTTAATTTCTTTTTAGTTGATAATTGGTAAAAATTTGAATTGCTGATTCAGAAGTTAAACATCTTTTATAGTATGCAAAAGGATAGCTATTCACTTGTTTTTTACACTGTTCCTAAGTATTATAGATATCTGGAATGCGACCAATTAGAAAAGTATAAAAATATTTAGATAATTTTGGCATTTTAGAAAAAAAAACTAAAAGTGTGCCAAGCAGTAAGCATCGACAATAACAATCAGTATAGTAGAATATAAGCCATGGAGTGCCAAAATAAGAGTTAGTATAACAAATGAAAATGATTTCAAATACTATACAAGTTGGGATCCTTCTCTCACCTGATTATTAAAATACTTTAATTTAAAATAAATTTTAACGAAAGAGATAGGGTTTATATAGTTTTAAAATATGATATGATAGAAATTAAAATTATGAGATTCGATCAATGATCTAATTTCTTATATTGGTGAAATTATTTAATCAAAGATCCTTTGTATTCAGATAATGATTAAATAAAATATGAAAGCAGGTACCATAAGAAGTAAAAGATTAATTAAAAAAAGTAAAATAAGAACAATTAATGTAAAAATTATAAAGAACACAAAAGCAATTAAAGCAATAATCAGTTCAATAACCTGTTCGCAAATCATCATCGTTGGTGAAGAAAAATGATTGCTAGTTTTATTTGTAGAAACTAGCAATCTTTAAAATTTAACTACTCTTGCTTATATATAAATTTAATTTTTTTGATTCTATCATAAATCATATCTTTTATCTTAATTTCGCATATATTAGAATTTAAAAGTAGTATTAATCTAAATAAATTATTTGTAGATTAGGAAGGATTTTCATCACGGTGAGCAAGTGCAGTAGATTGGGAAGGATTTTTATCACAGTAAGCAAGCGTAGTGGATTGGGAAGAATTTTCATTATAGTAAGCAAATGCAGTGGATTGGGAAGAATTTTTATTATGGTGAGCAAGCGCAGTGGATTGGGAAGGATTTTTATCACAGTGAGCAAGTGCAGTGAATTGGGAAGGATTTTCATCTTGGTGAGCAAGCATAGTAGATTGGAAAGAATTTTTATCACAGTAAGCAAGTGCGATAGATTGGAAAAGATTTTTATTACAGTAAGCAAGCGTGGTAGATTGGGAAGGATTTTTATCATGGTAAGCAAGTGCAGTGGATTGGGAAAGATTTTTATTATGGTGAGCAAGCGCAGTGGATTGGAAAGGATTTTTATCATGATGAGCAAGCGCAGTGGATTGGGAAGGATTTTCATCACAGTGAGCAAGTGCGATGGATTGGGAAAGATTTTTATCACAGTGAGCAAGCGTGGTAGATTGGGAAGGATTTTTATCATGGTAAGCAAGTGCAGTGGATTGGGAAAGATTTTTATTACGGTGAGCAAGCGCAGTGGATTGGAAAGGATTTTTATCATGATGAGCAAGCGCAGTGGATTGGGAAGGATTTTTATCATAGTAAGCAAGTGCGATGGATTGGGAAAGATTTTTATCACAGTGAGCAAGCGTGGTGGATTGGGAAGGATTTTTATCATGATAAGCAAGCATAATAGATTGGAAAAGATTTTTATTATGTTGAGCAAGTACAGTGGATTGGAAAGGATTTTTATCATGGTGAGCAAGCATAGTGAATTGGAAGGATTTTTATCACAGTGAGCAAGCGCAGTGGATTGGGAAGGATTTTTATCATGATAAGCAAGCACAGTGGATTGGAAAGAATTTTTATTATAGTGAGCAAGCATAGTGGATTGGGAAGGATTTTTATTATGGTAAGCAAGCATGGTAGATTGAAAAGGATTTTTATTATGATGAGCATTAGACTGTATAACACCAAACTGAGTTAAAGAGGTTTGAGACTGAACTTTACATGGATTACAAATTTTTAACCATTCTTCAGAATGTTTTCTAGCAAAATGCTGTTTAATAGTGTGAATCTTGGGATTAATATAATTTTTTTTTACAAAGTTTATATTCAATTCTTCCAAAAGGATAGAAATTAAAATATGCAAAAATAGATTAGTTATTTTCAATAAACTTCATTTACTTAATATTATAATTACTCAAAAAGTTGATTGCCAGTTTCGCTTATGGAAACTGACAATCAAAAATATTTATTATATGTTAAAAATAAGATGTTTAAATAAACTGAAATTGGATAAAAATTATAATACATAAAAATAGTTAGAAATTATCCCAGAACTTGTCAATCCAAAATAGATTAATAGATTGAATCAGTTAGAGATAAAGTTTATAGTACAAGATAAGAAGGAATACTAAAAAGTAAAACAGATAATGATTCATGTTTGCACAGATCAGCTGATAGGAAGAGATGAGAAAAATCTTGCTTATCGTCTGCTTGATGTTGAGATATGTAATATTAAGCATTGTAGAAACCTTGGATGCCTCCCAGATCAATTTGAACAATTCTTTGTCATGATGTAGAAGATTGGTGAATACCTGAAGAGGGTTGAGATTAGTTTGGAGCAATCATCTATGAGCTCATGTTTCAAGATCGGCTTGTAAAATGATCTTTACATTGGTGTCATAAAGGATTTTGGTAGTCGCATCATGGCCTGCAATCACATATTTCTTGCCAACAGTTATTTTTTGAATTATTGTATTAATTGCATCTTGTAATTCCTCATTTCTAGATAACGAAGAAGCATTCTAGCCAGTTAAAAGTTTTGTTTCTTGATTGTTATTTTGGTTGAATGTATTTAGAATGGTTAGGGTGTTGGAATTATCAATAAAGAAATTACAAAATAGAACCAAGTTGTCAGCATTAACAATTTCATAATGCTTGGCATAGTAGCGATAAAACAGACTGCTATTGATAAAGTTATATTTGATATGTTGAGCGAACTTTTGATCTATCATAGATTTACTAGTAGTGGATAAGCCATCTATAGCATAATTTACAGGAGAAAACATTATATAGTAGGTGCATAGTTACTAGCAAAAATTCTGATCAGTGATAAATACTGATCAGGTGTTTTATTAGAATAATATCAATTTAGTTATAATTAATAAATATTTAGTGATATTGATGAATTCAGACAATCTTTTAAAAATAAAATAGTATAAGTGTTTTAAAGTGCGACAGTTCATAATATTCGAATCTGATCAAACTCACAAAGCTCACATCATGCGCATAAGTGATGAAATGAATTGCAGTAGAATGAAAAATGCAAAGATTAATGATATGATATTGATTTCTGAATCTATAGCGAGCATCTGAAGGAAATTTTCTCTCAAAAACTACACAGTATGCTAGTTGGATACAATTCAAGCACTTGCTCTTCCTGTAAGTTGTAAATTCATTTGCAAAAATAATATGGAGATTTAGCAAGTTCCTGGCCTTGTTATTAAACCAGTAGTAGACAGAATTCTTCTCAATAAATAAAAATAGCTTGCGTCTTGTCCATTTACTATCACAGTTAAATTGAATTGAGATAAAGTAGTTTTTGGTGTTCTTGCTAAATTTTATCTGATAAGGATGAGTTATTTTTTAGAGAGAAAGATAGGAGTTCTCATTGCATTCTTTGATTATACAATACTTTTGATTCTTAATAATTTCACAGTAAGAAGCATGCCACAGGCTGTTCACAAACTTTAATCGTTGAAACTTGTAAAATTCGTTGTTAAAAATAAATGATGGGACAATCGCAAAGAAAATGATATAGATTAATTTGAGCGAAAAGTTGTTTATTCTTCCCTGTTAAGATCAATAGAAAATATGCTTCTTGGTAAATATTGTAGGGTGTTTAGAATCGCATGTTTTAACAATTTCAGTAATCACAATCAATCAGATATTTGACTTTAATAGTGTAGATTAGATTATGTTGATAGCTAGCTTGATCTTGTTTGAGAGTAGCATGATTAGAACAAATTTCTAGCAGCTTGCTAAAAGCATCAACATAAAATTCGTTAGTAGTTTTGAGGTAGTTAATAAGCAAATTTGATTGCTGGTTTTGTTTATAGAAACTAGCAATCTCAATATAATCTTTGATGTTTATAATATTATAATTAAAACAGATATATTGAAACATTATTTTTATTTGTTTGAATAGCATGTGTTTATATATTAAAATAATAATAATGCTTACTAAGCAGAAATTCTTTTTAAAATTTTAACAAATATGTATGATGAAATTAACCAATATTTCAATATGCGTGTATTGATTTATTATAAAAATTCATCTCAGCCTGTTGCTCGAACAAAGAGCAATTTGGTATACCACAACCGTTGAATACTGATGACATGGTGCAGAATGCTATCATGTAGCATCTTTCACAACATTGCTTCCCAACATCTTGACATTACACACAGATCAATTGTTTAGATTTATTATAAGATAAAGTGCAATAGTAATTGAGCGATAGCAAATATAAGATTCGCTTTTTTGTATTTGAATATTTGCATATGTTTCTTTCAAGTCAGCTTAGACAATAGTGATTGCACAGAATATTTCTATCACAAGCATTGCCCTTGTTTAAAAAAATAAATTCAGAACATGCTAAGTTTTTGAATTTCATATATAAAGGTTTCTGAGACCATTTGCCAATTGTTAAGGTGTCAAACTTGAAAAGGTATAGATTATATCACTTTAGATTCCTAGTGCTAAGCCAAACATCATATGTTGATTGGGGAAATATATACTAGTAGAAAACATTATAAACATGTTAGCAAGTAAAAGCAAAATTGAGAATATTAAGATTGGTAAGATGATCAAAGATGTTAGAATAGATTTCGTAGAAAACATGATTCATCTTCTCAAAAAATATATACTAATACGATAGTAGTTAAAAAAAAAACAATATAATGAATTAATTCTTGTAAATCCTAGTCGATGGATAAATAATGTTGAATTTGGATATCATTCATCCGATGTGAAAATTATTTCACACTGCTTGAATAGCTTGTAATATCATAGCAGATGAAGCAAAAAAGACAAAGAGGAGTTCTTTTTAAAGCATTTATTACATGCCTGGTAGTAGTAGCCATGGCCAATCACAAAAAAGTATTTGATTGCCTTGCAAGTAGTAAGGGAGACTATGTAAACCTGCTCTGTCAAATATGTGATAAGTGGGCAAAAATCACAAGTTTTTATGAATAGATTTTCTAATTCAGATAAAGTGCTTTGAAAGTCAAAATTTCTGTATGATATTAAGAGATTTTGGCAGTAGATGATATTGTTGGCTATTAGAATTTTTCTCTTGAAGATTTTATTATTTAGGCAAAATATTATTCAGTTGTTGTTGTCCAGGTTAAATCTGAAAACTTTGACAATGCGATATCCAGAGTAAAAGTAGAAGATATGTTTTTCTGGATTCAAATGGATTTGATAGAATGATCTGTTAAAGAATTTAGAGACCAAGCAAATGCTATTATTCTTATGCAAGCTAAAATATGAAAAAATTATAACCAAATTTCAGAAAGAAAAATCATAATAGTAGTCATCATTATTATATGTAAAATAGCATGAATGGTAAATTATAGATCACTATTCGTGCTTAGAATTAGATTTTGATCTATATTAATAAAAAAAATAATAAAAATATCTAAAGATAATTTTTAAGAGATATTCAGAATTTCATTAGAGATACAATTGTTAATTGAGTTGTAAATGATTAATCAATTGATTGTTGTGGTCAGGATTTCTTAGAAGAGAAGTAATAGTCTATCCTGGTATATTTATTTAAAGGCTATTTTTAGATTTTCATTTTTGTGAGAAATATTCGTTGGTAATGGTTAAGTCCAAGAAGAGGTTATTGTTTAGCCTAGATTGCTTATAATAATCAGAGATGGTCTTGTAGAATGAAGTGATGATCTTCTTAGTCTTTGTAGTATCACAAGCAAAAAAGCTAGCAAGAGATCCTTAAGACTCTTGAAGTAGTAGAGAAGATCTATCTTTTACCTGCTTAATGGATCGTACTCAGATATTAAGCACATCTTCTGACTCATATTCACGTTTGCATCTAGATACTCGATTATGTAGTAGTAGAATCAACCAGATATTGCTTCTTTTCTCTAGGCATCATGATTTGCTATGAAATCTTTGATCATCTTGTTTCCTCCTCATTGTATGGACTGTTTGCTATTAAAAAAGTATACCATGCTAGAAGTGGCTTTGGTAGGGTTGTATTTCTTGTTTAAGGTAAAAATGCTAAAATCTTGGTACTTAGTCCTGATATATTTTGTTATCACGTCGAACATAACATTTTGGGGCTTTGGTAAGCATGCGATATCTTATGATTGGAGTCATAACCCAGAATCATCCAGATCATTTCCTCTCTAATCTTCTTGTAGAATTTGGTCACATTGTGTTTGACTAGCTTCAGCCCTCATATAAAGCTTAGACTTGTCCAATTCAGGGTAGACCTCGTGGATTATACCACCATATTGCTTCTTTTAGAAAAATCATGAGAGATAGAATATCTTCTCATAGAAGAATCTGATACTACGTTTATGTTTAGATATTAAAAAATTGTTTATCAGACTCTTGAGCTCCTCTGAAACTGTTAGTGTTTGCTTAATCTTTTCATCTTAGCACAATTGCTTGATCTTTGAAGTTATCAAAGGAGAAGTTTGATGCCATATAAGATATTTGGATTTTATGCGGTTT